GCAGCCCCTGGGCAGGGCCGGGCCAGGGGCTCCGCGCCCCCCGCCCCAGCCCGGGCCCGCCGCCAGACGAGGTCAGACCCCGGGGTCGTGACACGAGCGACGGGGATCGTTATCCCTGCGGGAGGGGGGGAACACCCCAAAGCTCGGGCTCCCGGGGGTGCGTGGCTGCCTGAGGACCCGCATCCTGACCAATTTGGGATCGGGGAGGGGACAGCAGAGGAACAACCGGCTCCGGCTCGCCGAAGCCTCGGAGCGGGCACCCCCCCGACGGCAGATGCAGAGTTTCGGGGCTGTGGGTATGCAGGGAAAGCCCAGTGCAAGGATCTGCTGTCCTAGCGCGCAAAAATCTGCCCCTCTTCATACCGTGTTTTCTTTGCAAAAACCCTTCAAATAAGAGTAAAAACCAGAGCGGTTACATCTGAAACCCCTTCTTTCTCCAAAAGGGTTTTTTCTGTCTTACCTTATCCACAATAGGCAACGAAAGAAGATGAACGTGCTGATTTGCAAGTCGCTACCTTTGTATAGGAATCTTTCTCAAAAAAAAATCAGAAAAGGAATACAAAAGACACAGCGGTGAGATTAAAAACCTCCTAGAAGAACAAATAAGCTCACTAAGTTGTCAAGATAAATTTCGTAGGGTTCAGCATTAGTGAAGTTGCTTTTGTGCCATCTATAATTTTTCGTAATGTCAGTTAAAGCAGATACAGTGCTAAGCCAACCTTGACTAGCTAACTAAAACACTTGTTTTCCTTTCCCCCGCTCTTTCTTTTTTTTCTTTTAACTGCTTCTCAGCAAGTTCTCATTCCCCCCTTCTTATTATCCTGTCCTTTAATCATCATTCATCCCTAGAGGAAGGTGAAAATAGACAAGAAAATGAATCCTGTGCTGTTTGGTAATAGATATCTCTAATGAAACTCATAGTGAGTTTTCTTTTTCTATTTGCAAGGTTGGTTTTTTTTTTCTTTTTTCTCCTGTTCTTCTTAAAGCACAACACAGGTGAGGTTTACTGCCTGGTACTTGTCTTCTGAAAATGTCTCACGCTCCTGCCTTTCAGCAGAAACCTGAGGCTGAGGGGAACATTGCCAGCGTACAAAGTCACTGAGCACATTTTATTTTATTTGTAACAACTTCAAGGGGTTCCCCCAAAATGGCTTTCTGCCACAGCCATCCTGGATTACTCCAGGAGAAATCACAGCTCCAGAGTACACAAACAGCACAATCTTCGAGGCATACTGGAGAGAAACGCTGAGGTACATATTGCAGAAAAGAGAGCATTCTGCTCTCAGTCATCTGCTTATCAGCTCATCAAGCAAACTCTTCAGTTCATTTTTGCTAGGGAGTAGCCTTTCCTGGGGAAGAGGCTGAATTCAGTGTTGGAAGACCCTAATGCTGCTCGTATGAGTGAGGGTTTAAAACTTTCATTCTGACATTAAAAAAAAGCCTTTTAGCTTCCTCACAGCACCCTGTAAGAATCTCCCGGTCTGTATTTGTTTGGCAATTCAAGCGCTTCCTCACAGCACCCTGTAATCTCCCGGTCTGTATTTGTTTGGCAATTCAAGGATCTGTTTCAGAAGACAGAGCCTCTCTCCTGTCTCACCTCTAAGTTTGTGCAACCAGTTCAGGGATGAACATGAGGTCTGGCTCAGCTGAGACCGTGCTGGTGCAGCAAAGCCCCCTCAACAGCTTCCTGGGTCTGAAACACCAGCATTTCATGCAGGGCACCCTGCTGTACTCGCGTGTCACTTCAGCTAATTTGTAAGCTTTTAAAACTTTCATGACTTTCGTAGTCATACCCAGGTGAGGAAAAGTGAAATCCATTAAAGCCCTAGTATTATTTAGGTAAATTTAGTGGTGGGATCAGGCAGCCAATTGACATGACTCGAGGAGCCAGTTATATAAAGTATAGGGTGAATTTTCCTTCTGCTGCTCTCTGGCAAACCTGCCTCCCGCCAGCGCAAGAAGGATCCGCTCTCACCCAGGTCAGGACTTGCCTAAAACTGCCAGCAACAGGACGACAGTGCAGGTGTTTCCTGGAGATTCAGAAACAAGCACAGAGCTTGTTTAATTCTCCCTGGGTGCCCACATAAAACAGCTGCTTAATTTTATTTAATGCTCTTCAATCACTACTGACTGATGCTGGAATCAAAGCAACGCCCAGCAAAGGAAAGCTTCTGTGTCTCTATTACCACCCTGCGAGGCACCTGCTCCTCCAGGAGACTCCGGTTGGAGAAAGTCCTATTCAAAATATAAATATTGAGTAGCACCTTGATCCAAATGATCTTCATCCAAACAGTAATTAGCTACTGGAAGACCAAGTCAGAGTTGAACAAAGTCCAGATCTTTCATTCAGAGATAGCCATGCTTTAATCTACAAAATAGAGTACATACTAGAGCTGGAGAAAGGCAGCTTAATTTACAAAATAATATTACAGTACATGGATAAAAATTGTACTCATCACTCTCAGGATGACTTTCTGAGTCTTCATGCATGGGATTTATTAAACATGAAATCAGCTCAGGCATGTTAGCAGAAATAATGTCTAAAAGAGCTGTCGAGTTTCTAAATAACTGGTGAGACTAATAAGCCAAGGTAACTTTAGCCTCAGTGTAACCTTCACAGAAAAATCAAGGGTTCCTGGAAATTGAACAGCTATGAACTCTCTTAAAGATCAGTGAAGCACACTGGTTAAATTGATACTATCATGTTGGGCATTCCACAGGGAAAACCACAGCAGTGAGTACAAAAGCACAGAGCAAAGAGTAGCAGCAGAAAAAGCTATTACTTTGCTGCTAAAAAAAAATCATCTCCAAGGATCTCAAGCTCATTCTTGAGCAAAAAAGATCCAACAGCAGGGAGAAGGGATCAGTGAGAGAAATTATTTCTAGTCCCCAAACACTGACGACAAGAGACTTAAATATTCCCTACTGAGTGTGGGCTTTTTTTTTTTTTTTTGACTGGAACTCTCTTAAAGATCAGTGAAGCACACTGGTTAAATTGATACTATCATGTTGGGCATTCCACAGGGAAAACCACAGCAGTGAGTACAAAAGCACAGAGCAAAGAGTAGCAGCAGAAAAAGCTATTACTTTGCTGCTAAAAAAAAATCATCTCCAAGGATCTCAAGCTCATTCTTGAGCAAAAAAGATCCAACAGCAGGGAGAAGGGATCAGTGAGAGAAATTATTTCTAGTCCCCAAACACTGACGACAAGAGACTTAAATATTCCCTACTGAGTGTGGGCTTTTTTTTTTTTTTTTTGACTGTAGATTATAGGCATGTCCATCTTAGAGTCTGGGGGATTCAGTAGGACTGATCTCAAAAAGCACATTGGTGCCCTTGTGAGAATGTTGACTTTTGGACCATTTCCAATGGCAAGCAGTGCACAAAGCATCCCTGGGTATCAGGTCACTGGTGCAGTATGTGCAGAAGTCTGGACACTGACAGGGAAAAGGAGAACCGAAAAAGCTCAAACAGAAACAACATTTATGGAAGACTGAATTTAAATGACTTGTTTGAGGCAGCTAATTCAGGCAGCAGCAGAGCTGGGCACAAAGGGCAATGCAAGGAGGGTGTAAATGAGAAGGATTTGTTGGGCAGAGCTACTGGTTCCCGGGATCTGGAGCTCACACGCTGGCTACAGGGTGCTCACAAGGCAGGACCAG